CTGGGGCCAGTCATGCACATCATGTGTGGATGCAAGTGTCCTGCCTGAGGTTATGAAAGACCTACAGTCCACTTCTCTTTAAAAGGAGTCTGAAAAACCAAAAAAAAAAAAAAAAAAAAAAAAAAAAAGAAAAAGCATAATTTGCAACAGCAGACCAGCTTATATCCCCATTTCCTCTGTCAAACTCTCGGATCTCTGCTAGGGAAATCAACAAGCAACCTTGAGGTGTCTTTAAAAGGGATGGAGAGGAATAAAAACTTGACAGTTTTTGTATTGGTAGAAGATGACCAAGAAAAATCAGACCTAAAAAACTTAACCACAACCTTGATGCTTCCAAACTTCTGGTACCTCAAACCTGATATACAGTTTAATTCATCCAGGCAGACCCTGGACTAGAGAGCACTTAGGCTTTGGACCTTCCTACTTAAATGAATGGTTGGCTTGCAGTAATAATAATAATAATAATGATAATAATAAAATTGATGATAATAATAATGATTGTTATAATAATGATAATGATGATGATAATAATAATGATAAAGACAAAACAACAACAAAAATAGCAACAACAACAACAACAACAATAATAATAATAATAATAATAATAATAATAATAATAATAATAATAACAATAACAATAATGATGATAATAATAATGATAATAAAAACAAAACAACAACAAAAATAGCAATAACAACAACAGTAACAACAACAACAACAATAATAATAATAATAATAATAATAATAATAATAATAATAATAATAACAATAACAATCTTTATTTAATCAAATTAGCTGCCTGGTCTCTGTGAAATCATTACATCACGAGTGCCTGAACATCATGAGCTCTCCTTGATTAATGTGACCAGCCAGGAAGGCAATGTTCACAGAAGGGTGAAAATTACCAGAAATGAAAATTACCAGCTGATTACTAAAGAACATGACTAATGTAACCCAGTGACTCACTTACTCTGAGGTTGCTCTGGACTTTCAGTAGGATGAAAAGGAATTACTCCAAGCATTAGCTCTTTTTCCACGTTTTCATCCTACCCATGGAACAAAAGCTGTTGGTTCATGCCTTCCCAGACACGGGACCAGTTGTTTTAAGAAGTGCTGGGGAGCTGCACACAGATAAGCCCTGATGTATTTCAGAGATGCCCTCCACAAGTTTGGAAAGGGCTTTTAAATTCTTCAGAAATTGTAGCTTCATCACCACTATATCTGCTTTGTCCCTCCATAAAATTCCAGCTACTTCCAGGGCACTTTCTTGATTTTTTTTGTATATTTTGATGACCCAAAAGAGCTAAAAAGAAACTTTTTGGAATCTGTTTATACTAAATTATGTAGGTTTTCCAAAAGTAGTCGCATATAAAATTAAAGTAAATCAATAAAATTTGATGAAATAAGTGTTCACTGCAAAATCAATCAGAAAGCATTGGGCAGAATGGTGGGTAACTTAACAAATTATAGCTGCTTTATGAAAATTATAATGGAAATAATTTTAAAAAATTGGTGAGCATGCAGAGAAAGATACGTATGGATTTTGGAGGTTCCTGGAGGACTCCCTGGCAGGTGGCAGTGCTGCAGCAGTGAAGGGGACGTGCACAGCACTCAGGGCTACCTCTGCTCACAAGTTAACACACCCCTGGTGTGGGAACTCAGTACATCACTCCGGATGCCCTGGTGTGGGAACTCAGTACATCACTGCGGATGTCCAGAGCTACCGAGACAACCCTCGGGGGGCTCGGGAACCCTGGAATGTTGCCAAAAGTGCCTGGTGGCTTGACTTTGACCCTTCGGTACTTTGAAAAGAGCCCACACTTCACTTCTAAAGTTGGAAAAAATAAAGTTAGCAATCCAACTTCCTGAACACCTGACTGGGGAATTCAGAGTAAACAGACCCTGCTGACAGTCAGAGTCAAGGAGAAGCAGCTGCCTGAATTCCCTCCCTGGATTGCCCGAGGGCCCAGAAGTCATGTCTCACAAGCTATAAAGCAACACGGGCAGCACAGGTGCTCAGGAGAGCCCAAAATAAAATTTAAAAATGTCTATGTGCTCCAAGTGCATATCTGTGCATTGAGAGCTTATCTAAGGATGGCATGTGCCTTTGCAGAAATGATTAAATGATTTGCATAAATGATTGCCTTAAATGATTCACTCAGGGTGTTGTCTCTGCAGAGGAAAACATACAGGAACTGTCTCTCAATTTGGTGATAAAGCCTTGTAGCAAGGCATAGAATGGCCAATTTAATATGTAATTTTATTTATTCTAATCTGTGGAAAAACAACCAAAACTGCACGATGGCCAAGGGTATCTTTTTGTCCTGCTACAGATAACTAACTACTACTGAAATGATGTGTTATTTTAGTTCTAGCCAATAAAAGAAACTGAGGAGGCTTTCTTTCTTTCTCTCTGCTGTTTCCAGGTAGCTGTTGCTAGTTAGTCCACACAGTTAAATGATTTCTTGTGCATCAGGTGCTTGCAAGGGCAGGAACTTTGCTTTGGTACACATTTGTAAAGTGCTATGGGTGCTTCTGGTCCTTTAAAGAATAAACAACACTAGTATGCTTCATTTAACATGTCTAAAAATATTTTTCCCCCAGGAAGAGCAGGCAGGCACTCTGTAACTGGCCACAAGGCCAATAAAGGGTGATGCACACTGAGGATTGTCTCTCCACATCTCACTGGCCATTGCTGTGATCTCTGGCTTAAAGCTCTACCACACTGGGAACTGCTTATCCCAGTAATTATTAATCAGGGTTAGGTGCTGGTACCATACACATCCTGACAAAATTTTGACATAAAAGAGCTGTTAAACTTTGCCTTTTTCCTCACTGAGATCCTTTGCTAAAACAAAAATTGTTTTTTCGCCCTCAGCCTGGTAAATTAAAAAAAAAATACAGTTTTTTTGTATAGAAAAAATCCTAGAGAAGGGTATGTTGTGTCTAAAGGTAAGTGCCTTTACACCTTCCTGGCACAGCTCTTGCCAAAAAGGAGGTTTTTAAACCCTACCTTCCCAGCAGTGGCAGGATTTGTGCCCGTGTTCCCCCCAGGCTCTGTCCATCCAATGGCTGCTCCTTCCATGGACACACAATTCCCTCTCTGGCCACCTCTGCTCATCACTGGCAGTGGCCCTGCTGCTCTCAGAAACGCCAGGAGGGAGAGCTGAGGGGCAGCAAACTCCCAGCTGCAATTCCCATAAACGATGGCCACAAACCCTGGAGCAGAGCCGCATTTCCAGAAGAACCAATGGAGCTTCTGTGGGAGGAAACCAACATGTGCTGGGTTAGCAGCAATTCTGCATCTCCATTTCTTCTGCAAAAAATTAAATTTACCTTGTCCCTGCTTTTGGTCAGGCATTTTTGCTTTTGTTTGTTGCGTTATTTTTTTCTTTTTCTTTTCTTTTTTATTTTTAATAGACATTTTGTAAGAGTTCTCACTATTGAAATCGCGTGTTTTCTAGAAGAAATTTCCTGCCAGTCAGACAGCATTTGTAATGACTCAGGTCCCCTTCCTTCTTTGGGAAGAACTCTGAAAGAAAAATGCAGCATAACTGAGATGAATGGAGCTGCATAAAGCTGCTTCAGTTGTACAAGGCACATCCCATCCCCCCGAGCCATACTTAGACCTCACAATTATTCTTAAAGAGAGAAAAGGACAGAAAAATTTGGGTTGGTTGTGTTGTGGGGTGTTTCCTTTGTTTGTTAGAGATCAAATGAGAAGAATCATCAGATTCACCCTGAGAAGTGGATTCTCCACAAGGGAAGTTTCTGCTTTGGCTGTCCTGGAGAAGATCAGATGTGCTCTGCCCTATTGCTGCACCTGTTTCAACTAATTTCAAATTTAAAAAGGCAGATCCATACCTATTCTGAGTCACAGAAGAGCAGCCAGTCAGGTGGAGGACAGAAGAGAGGGGTGGAATTAAGAGTGGTTTTACCATTAAGAGTGGTTTTACCAGGCGTTCTGGTTTAGGGTAGCTTTGGGAGAAAAACTTCTCAAGGGGTTTCCTCTAGAAAAAACAAATTGGAGTGGTGTTAGTGAAACTGTGGGATGTTTATGCCAGCACAAAGGGGCAAACCATCACCCTGTGCTGCACACCCTGCAGGGTCAAACAAGCATGTGCCTTGACTCCTTCAGGATTCTCTGGGGCAAGGAAAAGCTCAGTCATGTTACAGATCCTGTGGCCAATTCTTTCAGATAACTTTTCCTGAGCTCAATTTTTAATTCTTAAAAAATATACTTAAATTATTCTATTAAGACTTATATTGACTGAATCAGTATCCAGGAGCATGCTGGGGACAATCTGTCCCATATTCTAAGATTATTTGTTCACTGTTGATTATTTTCCATTATTACCAATAATTTACCCATCGACCAGCAGATAAATATAAGCATTTGCTTGAAATAAAAATTATTTAAATTTTACACAACAGGAAAAAAGTACAGGATTAAAATTATGTTCACTAACCTCCAAGAAGAGAAGCCCAAGGCTTTTGGGTGTTTAATGAATTAAACCTTGGATTGTTGTTAAACATGATTTTTAGCCACACTGAGAATTGTTTCTTGGTAATAACAGGTTTTGAACAAAATGTGCGGGTTTTTTTTTTTTTTGGTCTTTTCTGCCTCTCATCAACTGTTATTTTGTTTCTCTTTTTCTCCCCAGCTGCTCATGTTATTACTTGCTTAATTTTTCCTGTTTCTCTTTCGATCTTCCCTCGCTCCAGGTGTTTCAATGCCAGATTTCAACTATTCTATAGATTTCTCTAGGAGGGATTTGTTTCAATTGTATTGCTATGTTTTAGGGACTTATTGTTGCTGTTTCAAATTAAAACAATCTTATCAAATCATGATTATTCCTGCTAGAGTAATTTTTTGTTGGGGTTTTTTGGCATAAATACATGAGATTAAATTGTGGCTGAACACAGCTTCATTTGACAGTATAATATCATCTTTCTATTTATTGATTACCAGCTCAAGTAAACATACCATCAGCTCACCAAAATCAATACAGAGTTGGAATTTATATTTGAGAAGAATTGCCTGGTGGCAAATAACTTTTCTCTCTCTGTGCATGTAAGTTGCAGATGATCTACAGCCTGGAAACCATATTCAAGTTAAGTAGCAGAATAAAAACTGCACAAGGTACATGACAAAGCTTTTTTCTGTACAATATTTCCTTCTGTAGCAGTAGGAAAATCTATTCAGTGACCAGCCCTGGTGGTTTAGCAGGGTTTTTTTTCACTTGGGCAGTTACACCAGTAAAGTCAGACACGGACTGAAATGAAACAACCTGCAATTGCTGTTAGAATTATATCAGTAACTGCTTGCCATGCCAGATATGTCAATAACCAGCTGTTTATGTAGAAATAATCTGTTTTGCTGTTATGCTTCCATTGTATTTAGCCACATTCTTGTTATGACATTCACTAAACAACCACTAGAACCCAAAATGTCATTTTAGAGTATTTTGACATCACTGAGAACAGCAGGCACAAATGTCTGAACCTAAGTTGACTGTATAGATATATTGGGGAGCTACACAGGGATGGAAAAAAAACCTGAGCAGCATTAAACTTGCCTCCTTACACCGATTTTATATTTGTGCTGTAGCAAATATAATTTCACCAAAGTAAAAACGTAGGTGAGATTTCATTTTCCTCCACATCTGTGGTTTTTTTGTAGTCATTACTAAGAAAACTGATGAGCTTTCAGCACCATAAAGGTCCACCAGGTCCGCCTGATGATGTCTCCATAAGGTTTTTCAGCTCTTTTTCTTGAGGAGTTCCTGTGCCAACACAGAAAAAATAAGAAAAGTGAAAAGTCTCAAAAATAGTATTTAGTTACATTGCCTTAAATTGGCTAAAGATACAACAGATATCTGCTGTGGCCAGACCACACGAGCCTTTAAAACACCAGTTCTACCCAGCATTTCTTAATTTGCATGGACTCACACAGCAGAAAAACAAACAAACAAATAATCAAACAAAGGAAAAAAAAAATGCAAAAAAAACCCCAAACCAAGAAAACCTGAAAAACAAAAACAAAATAAAACAAAAACCAAACAACAAAAAAAAAAAGGAATCAGCTTCAGCAGCAAACAAAAAAAAATACAAAAAAACCCAAAACAAAAAAACCACCAACAACAAAAAAACACAAACAAACAAAATATCAGGAAAAAACTGTTTGCCTAACAAAACCAGCTTCAGTAGAGGAATCCCCTGGTGGTCTGCCATGGGGCTTCCTCCTCTGGGGAAACAAACTGCCATTATCCTACCTGGGATTCAAATCAAAATCAGATTACATGCTCACTGTGTGCAGTGCTCAATCTTTTCTCCTCTGCAAGCGTTTATAAGACACGGGGTATCCTTCACCAAGAAGAGAACACATAATGATAACATATTTATGAAACTTAAGTGGTTCAATTATTTTCATCCCAGTAGCTTTATGAGAGAGGTAGAAGTATGAAACTCCACGAAATAACTCAGAGGAATTATTACAATGCTTGTGCATTACTACTAATTCCACCCTATTAGATGATACTATATCTTTTCATAATGAAGATTAAATGCAGCAGAAACCACATAATGGCAGAACTGCTGTAGATCAAATTGAGTCTACCATAAGAAAAATGATCACTGATCCCAAGACGTTATGGAGTAGTAAACTTAAATTGTGCTGCTTTTCAAGTTTATGTGACTATGATTATTTAATTTTCCTTTGTGCCTGCTCAAGTATAGCTGTTATGCGACTACACATGAGAGAACCTGAAATTAATTTGTCTGTATGAGATCAGTGACTGTACAAATTCTTATGAAAACTAACATGCCATGACAATAGTAATTTTGATAAAATTACAGCAAGAACTGCAATTCTCTGCCATCTGGCTGTCTCATCATAACTACTTTGATGTGCTTTTTATTACTTATTTACTTACTTCAACTACTTTAACAGTTGTTTCGGAGCTTAGAAACATTAACTGCCAAGCAATATTAAAGAAACAGCATTGCCAAAGCTTAACATTAATTCCTCACAGAAGTCTCAAACAATCTAAAATCATCTTTAATTAAAGCCCTAAAAATGATAGATCTACTCCATAATAGATCTACTTTATGAAGCAGACACATTTTCTATTTCATATTTTAAAATGCAAATATGTATCAGTTTTCAGAGTAGTCTGATTAGTTTATTCAAAAGTCTGAATGAACTGCCAGACTCCTTTCATCTTCCCAAATAAAACCTTTCAATTACTTTTGGAATTGAGTTACATATTTACTTAAGGCACGACCACAATTAACAGACTGAAAGAGAAGTGTATCTAGGTACATTTTTACAAATAAGGAACCCATTTACTTGAGGTCAGGGTATCAGTACTGTGCATTTCTAATTCAATCATATTTATTCCAAGGCAAATCATCTCTTTGGTGCCTTCTTATGAATACTAACCAGCCATCATGATTTATCTTCTTTATAAGGGGTGGAGAAGGTCAAATACTGCCTTTATGTTACCACTGCAAATGTGTTTGCTTGGTAAAGGTCCTGATCTGAAAACACAGAACTTTTGTAATTTTATACCGTAATCTAGCAGATTTCTGAGATAAACCCCAGCACATCCAAAGCTCAAAGAATCTTGGCTGTTCTCCAGGAGCTAAGGACATTTTCCACATCCCTTGGAGAATTATTAGATCGTAGTACACAACGTGGTTCCAAACGTGTGCGCACGAGGTGTCATCTACAACGTGGTGATTTAGCACATGTAGATTTTATAGAAATATTGGATTTCTGAGTACACAACCACCAAGAGTCACACCATGGGTCTGAGAGAGATGTCCTTGAGGCTTGGGGCTGTGACCACTTCCCTGGGGAGCTGTGAGGGGTGAAATCCTGCTCCCCAAAAAGCCACATGAGGTTAACCCATATGGACCTGGTTTGGCTTTCACCCCTGAGCCCATAAAATCCACTCCCACTTCCAAAGGGTGGCCAAACCCTCCTCTCCTAGTGTACAGCACCAGCCCACTGCGTTAGCTGAGCTCAGGAACTCTAGGAATTAACTGTAGGAATTAATGCCACAGAGGTCAAATCTGTATCTTGGGGTCAGGGCAAGGACCTGGAATGGTGGAACTCCGCTAACAATGCTGTATTTCACCTTCTGTGAGCTCTAAACTTGCAGGGAATTACATAAAAACACCCCCAAAACAAAACTAAAAAAAAAAACCCAAAAAACAAAACACACAACCCCAAACCCCCCAAAAGCGACAACTAAAACAAAACAAACAAACACCCAAAAACCAACCAAAAAAACCCGAGCAACCAAACAAACCAACAAAACCAGCAAACACAACAGAGAGAGCTGCCATCAGAAACTCACAAAAAACACAACCCAAAACCCCCCAAAAGCAACAACTAAAACAAAACAAACAAACAAACACCCAAAAACCAACAAAAAAAACCCAAACAACCAAACAAACCAACAAAACCAGCAAACACAACAGAGAGAGCTGCCATCAGAAACTCCTTGCAGATGGCATAAAATAGCTTAACTACAATTCACTGGGAGCTAATTTCAGTCATTGCTAATACATGCTGGGTAGAAAATTAGTGTCAAACAACAAAATGGCATAATTTTTTAAAAGCATTTGGATTCAAGTTTCAAATAATCTCTATTAACCAGCATTCAAGTTTGCAGATAAAAATCTCCCCCACAGAATTACACGGTACCAGCTTTTCCTTCAGTTTTAACAAAAAAAACAGAGGATGTTGAACATTATTGTTAGATTGTAATAATTAGAGTAGTGAAACATATGGCTATATAATACAGCCAGATATTTATGTAGTGACTGGACAGATACAGCATTTTGCTAATTGTTTGCTTATCTGAGTTGTTTTTCTCTGCTGAACAGAGTGGAATGTTTCTGCACAGAGCTTTTCCTTTTATTCTATATTTGATCCCTCCCTAAATTTATTAACACAGACCTGCCTGAATAGGCCATGATACTGAAATTATGGGGACAGAACAGGATATCCAGATTTGCTGCCCATGTCTGTTTACTCATTCTTGTAAAAAAAAAATAAAATCTTTCTTACTTTTTATCTGAAGACCCAAAAATTAGAGGGCTATCAATTGCACCATAAATGGGTATATCAGAAAATCTGCAAAGACTTTTGCAAAGACAAAAAATTAGACTCATTGCAAAAGTACTTCTCAAAAGGAGCAGGGCTTTGCTTTGGTAACACCACATATGAAGATTTCAGCAGCACACCTGCATTATTATTTTTTTATTATGCTTTCAAACTTCACAGATTAATAGCAAGTTGAAACAGGTAGTAATGGAGGTACTCTCTGTACATCTAAGATGTTAAACCACAGTTTGCACCTGTAGAGAGTTAAGACTGCAATACTATTAATTCCATATATAAAATTCTGCAATACTGTTACTTCTACAGGGTTTCCAAAACTTGGGATTTTTTTTTTTTTCAATTAGAAGGTGAATAGTTTTTGGAAAGAATAATGGATTTATTTTTAAAAATAAATTTACTCTAGGTTCTAGTAAGAGTCAAGCAGTGGGTTGCATAAAACTGAAGATAGGAACTTGGCATTAAAAAGACCCAAATCATTTTTGCTTTCTGTTATTGTAAAATTAGAGAGCTTCGTAAAAATTAGAGAGCTATTGTAAAATTAGAGAGCTTTCTGATCCGTTTCGCACTGACACACATTCCTAAACTTGACCTGTGTTTATAACAGCCAGAACACATAACATGTGCAAAAAAAAAAAAAGCCAAATGCTGAGGCAAATTAAAGGAACTAACAGCAATTTAATCTGTAACTTTCTAAGACGTTTGAATATAATACATTCTACTTTAACCTTTAATTCCAGTATTGTCATTCCATATTAAAATTCAGCATTCTCAAGTCCATGCTTTAAGTGAAATCTCTGTTGGGCTTTCTATTTTCCTCCAAGCAAACTGCAGAAGGATAAACACTTGTTAGTTAGAAAACCAAAACTGTTCCAACTCTAAATAATATCAATATTTTAAAGTGCGTTTTTGCTATGAAAATAATAATTACATGGCAAAAACATTCAAACAATTATGCTGGGACAAAACTCTGACTTGGGAGATAATGGATAGAGCCAGCAGGGACTAAAATGTGCAGCATTTCCTGGTCATTTACTCACTGGAAGATTTGAAAATCAGTTTATTCATGGGAGAAAAATAACCTATTGCCACCAGTCCTTGATCATAAAACACATAGAACTTTAAACTCCCAGTGCAATATTGAAAGGAAATAAATGTGCATCTAATCAGCTTTGCCCTTCATAGCAGGTATCACTTTGGCAATCAGGAGCACACTGTGGATAGCAAAAATAATGGGAAGACAATATTCTGAGTGGGGAAAAAAAAAGCCTCCACACTTTGCAAAATACACAGGAAGACTGTAACCACAGGTGGCTATTTCTGCTGACCTAAAACAATTCCCTAAAACGGTGGCTGTGATGCAGCCAGAACACCAAGGGCATGTTTTCACTTTAACTTATGCATTCTTCTGGAATCCTGAGGTCTGAGTAAACTGCACCATCCCAAATAACCCTTCAAGATGCAAAGGCAGGCTCACACCGACAGCCCACAAAGAGGTGCATGAAATGACTGCCTCTTATTGCTGAAATCCCAGAGAACCATTTCTCTTTACACGTCTCCATCAGGAATTTGTTTTCGCTTCCACTTGAGAGAAACCTGACAAAATGGAGCAACCTTAGCGAACAGAAAGGCAATTTTCATAAAATGCACAGT